CGCGCGGGTGCGCACGCGGCCGCCCCGCTCCGGTGTCTGCAGCCAGCGCCGGAAAGGTCTCTTCTGCGAGTCGAACCGAGCTTTCTAAAAGGTGTAAGGTTACTGCATTTTAGATAGAGGTCAAGAGCGCTCGCTCTTGACGGCATACACTGTTCAGTTCAAAAAAGATTTGTAGGGTGAGTTAGAACGTTGATGTCTCTTGTGTGCTGCAAGACGTACAGTAATCCTTTGAGGTCTGGAGCAATGGTTTACACACAGGAATTAGAACTATTGATTGATAACCTGCCCTGTTTTTCACAATGAAAAACAGGGAAACAGTTTTAACTGGTGCCGAATGAAGCTAAATTGTCCGAGGCTCCAAGGCCCAAACTTTCTGCCGAGATCTAAATATCTGATGTTTGGTAATACATCCCTGCTAGGGATCGAGTAAACAGTACTTCCTGAAATTTGAGTTACAGTCCCTTTGCTGAATCCCAGAACTCTTGTCATCTTCACCTTTGGGAAGGCCTGACAGAAAGAGATGAAGCTTTCTTGTCATGAAAAAAATTAATGAAAAAGGCACTAGAACTGCCTCAGGCTGGTGGGGGCTTATCCAGAATTTCCATAAAGATCCCTTTCAACCTACAAGCTACGTACATGATAGAGTTGTTACCTTTGAGGATCATCTTTTTATTTACCAGAGAATGTCTGTGGCTTACTGACTTAACCCAATTCTGACCGGTTCTTTTGAGTCTGAAAACAGTTGTGAAAAACCTTACGGAGCAGCCGAGTTGAAAAAATTGGGGCTTCGGTACCGCTCACATAACGTTCACGCGTCAAAAGCTGCGGTGAAAGAGCTAAGAGGTTGTGCTGATGAAAATGCTTTCTTCAGCCCTGACAGCCGCTGCAGGAAGAGGAAAGCTGGAAGTCTGCGAGTTGCTCCTGGAGCGAGGCGCGGCCGTGACGAGAGCCAACAGGAGGGGGGCGCCCCCGCTGCTCTGCGCCGTGCGGCAGGGGCACTGGCAGGTCTGGCGCGTCTCTGCGGGTCGCTGCGCTGCCTGTGGGAAGCGCTGCTTCGTGCCTTCCGCCTCGAGCGCTGTCATAAATGAGCCTAAACTTCCCAGTGTGCGTTTGCGTCACCTTCAAAGGGATGTGTTCGGAAGGTGACTTGTGAAGTTATTTAAAGTGATACGAAGGAATCAAAAGTACGTCGGCTGCGTGACAGCCTTCGTTATAGTATACCAAAAATAATACATGGGAGTTAAAATATGTTATTTCCTGGACCAAGAACAGAGGCAATTTCAGATCCTTTATACTGCCTCTGTATTAATGGAGAGAGAACCTTAGAGTCAGGCCCTGAACTGCGAACAGTTAAGACTTGGGTTACGCAGGAATTCTCAATGACTGCTATAAACAACACCTTAGTCCTCTTCTTTAAAAAGACTAAATTATTAAATTATGGCTAAAATTTAAATCTGCCAATTTATTTTTAAATTGCTGTTTTCTATTTCAGATTGCTAAGCTTCTAGTGGAGCATGGGTCTGACGTGAACTTAAGCGACAAGCAAGGCCGAACTCCACTTATGGTGGCTTCTTGTGAAGGACATTTGAGCACTGTGGAATTTCTGCTTTCTGAAGGTAGAAAATAGCGGTTCAGGGCTGCACAGCTGTACCAGAGACTGCATCTGTGCGAGTTAAATAATTTTTGCCTATTAAACAGGACATCTTCACAAGAAAGTTAATTCTCGCTTTATAGGTGCAGCTATTTCCTCTCTGGACAAAGAAGGACTGACAGCTTTGAGCTGGGCATGTCTAAAAGGCCACAGGGAAGTGGTTCAGTATTTGGTTGAGAAAGGCGCAACAACTGATCAGACAGACAAAAATGGACGAACACCCCTAGACCTGGCAGCTTTTTATGGAGATGCTGATATTGTAAGTAGAACTAACAGTAGAAAAAATAAGCATGTGTTGAATTTTCATAACACAAAACAAAATTTAGAAAAAGTATTGACAAACAAAACAGAAGGGAAATTTGAGGAAGTAGCTAAGATGCTTACACTGATCTTGACCTCAGTGCAAGCATTTACTCAGAAAAGCATTTTCTAGATAACGTTTTGGTACCGAGGTAGCTTGTGATAAAGTCAGCGTTATGCCGTTATGTTTTACAGTGTGCTGTTGTACTACATCGTGGGTTTTTTAAATTTCAATAAGAAGTAGCATTTACAATTTCTGTGTTGGATGATCTGGAATTACAAAAAAAAAAAAAAAAAAAGTGCCTGTGGGATATGAGAGGAAAATATCTTTTTTCAGCCTCTGCAAAGCCATCAAGGAAACCTGACAGGGTCCCAGTCAGTTGAGTGTCTTAGTGGAACAGAGACCCCACGTAAGAGATGTAGAAAGAAGAATATTAGTGGCAGAATAGATGAAATGCAGAAAGGTTTTGCTTCTCTATTATAAGGCAGCATTACCTGTCTTTGATAGGTATTTTACATGCTTTGCATGACAGGGAGAGAACTGTTAGAAGTCCTTACGCTTTTCGTCTTGCAAAGATGACACTGAGCACATCTCAGTGTTACTATCCAGTCTATAGATGTGGAAGTACAACACTTGAGGCGTAAATTCAGTTTTTCTCAGTTTGTTCCACAGGTCATTTCAGAAACAGGACAACAACTGCAATTCCTTTTTCAGTCCTGTACCTTTCTCACTTACTACCTTCTTCCTCTATTATACATGTTGCAATGCAAGAATTTAAGGCTTTTTAGGTGAAGTTTTTCTGAATCTGAAGTAGAGCATACCTCTAACTGAGATCAAAAAGTATACACTAAGTTTGAAGTCTGTGATTTAGAATCCTCTGTATCTTTAAAATCACAGATCTTTTACATGATTGTATATTCTTGTTCTCATGCTTCAAAACTTGCTAATTAAGCACAATTCAGAAGCCTGACCAGATAGGAATGCAATTTCTGCAAACTGCATGGAAAGGCCATGGTCAAGTCTGCACGCACTATAAACAGATCCAAGAGTTCACCAGGGAACTAGACAGAAAGCAGCCTCTCAAACTCGCTAGCATCTTTATTTCTAGAGTTTGCATATACAACATCTGGTTTCAAAACGGCAGTTCTTGAATAGAAGTGCTGCCATACAGTGTAACTTGCTATAGCACTTTAAGTCCCATTCACTCTTAGTCAGAATTACTTTGAAATTGTAAATAAGCCCTTAGATTCTGTACTAGCTTTAAGAGGTTTCAGAAGCCACATCATGGAGCTATTCCTGCCACTGCAACTGTTTCCATGTAAAACTGGGTACCTGAAGAGGCACTTCTTTCCTGCTTGGGAATGAGGGATATTGAGACTCCTTTACATACTTTTACTGTAGGGTATTGCATTGGAATAGTACAGACTGCCAGTTCCCTTGATAGACTCGCCACATCGGTGGTTCGTGTGGCTGAAGAGCCTTACCTTTGTGCCTGGGCAACAGGCAAAGGTGGAATCGTACTAATTAAGAGATCACTCGGCAGGCCAGGAGCTTTGGGTCTTGGGGGCCTGTCAGTGGGAAGGATTTTTAATACCTTTTTCCCTGCTAGATTACTGCCAGTTGCATTTGAGAAGCAGTGGTTATGTGTAAGAACTATTGCTTGCTTCAAACCTGCTATCACTGTCATTTCCTGTATATTGCACTTTTAATTAGTATTGCTGATGGGCAATTACTCTGTTGCTCCGGATACCTGGTGAATGCTTGGTGGAAGCTGATGGTGTCTGACATCAGCTTATTTTGCTTTCTTAAACTTTCTTATTCGCCCTTGCTGCATTTTACATTTGCTGCATATATGTCCGGCTGCAGCGTTAGACTGTCATAGTAAATGGATAAGAAACAAATAAAATTACAAATGCGTTTTTCTTCGTATAGAGCGAGAAGTGGCCCCTCAGCACCGTAACTTGTATGTACACTGTTAACTAGAATGTTTTAAATATCTCATGTTACATGACAGCAGCCTGGGTGTTTTCTGTTTGTTGTATAGCACCGTGTCCTGTAGTAGGAGCACATTCTGGTCCTGCACTTCGTGCTTCTTGTTGTCGTGTTACAGTGTACTTGAAGCTGAAACCACAGGGCCTACGCCACTACTCTCTTTTCACCTGAGCTTACTGCCCGTATGCTCGAGTTGCTGTGTTGGCACGCAGAACGTGAGCAAAGGAGGGAAAAAGCATAATGTGTTGGTCTTAGGGTTTTTCTGACACAGGTACTTCCAGGAATTTGGGTGTTGTTGTTTTTCAGTTCCCTAAGTTGCAGGTCTTTGGCGCAGTTTGATAGTACTCCCGTGTTGTGTTCTGTTTAGTGGGTTCAGTTCAATGGATTTAAAATTGCTTTAGCATACGCTGGAGCATATACTCAGTATACTTCAAGGAAGATTAGGTGGTAGCTTAAGTATTTCACTGTTCTGCCCCTTCTACCAAAAATAATGTTATGAGGCTTGTCTTGTTTCTTTTCGCAGGTGCAGTATTTAGTAGAGAAAGGAGCAATGATTGAGCATGTTGACCACAGTGGCATGCGGCCCCTGGACAGAGCTATCGGATGTCGTAATACGTCGGTAGTGGTTATGCTGCTGAGAAAAGGAGCTAAACTAGGTTTGTAAAACTATTCTATACTCAAGAGAAACAACGGAGTATCTACTCTGCTAGAATTACTGTCCTTCCTGTAAAGTAGATGAAATAAATATTGAAATACACACTAGATTTTTGCAGGTGGAATGGTTTGCAGATGCCTGCTCAAGAGAAATCAGTCTCTTACTTTTCAAGGCAGTCACTCAAGACTCACTTCAAAAGTGAGGAAATGCAAGTAATTTTATTCTATTCCTTTCTTTGATGTATGCTGATGAGGAGGTCTGGAAGAGTCAGTCTTCATGTGGTTACTCTATCATGATATACTTAAACAAGAAAATTATGATTACGCTATTAGTGATACTTAATTCTGACACTATTAACAATTTAGATTAAGAAATTTTACATTATTTTAATAAATTATAGAATCATCCATTTTTGCAAAGGGTGGGCAAAAAGTATATGTCCAAATCATGTATTGTCACTAGGCAAGTAGACGGTGCAGCTGTGTACATGATAATTGCTGAATCTGTAGTACCTTTAAGTCATCGTTCATTATTATTTGGGTAGTAAGTACGATCAAATACAGATCCTTACTTACACCTGAACTTTACCAGGGCTTTCATACTGTCTTATACTGGCTTTAGGCTGGGGGTAAAAGGAATTGGACCATTTAATATCTGGCTGCCATCTATGTGGGGCAGCAGGGGGCAGGTGTGGATATATATGTATTTATAATGCATGTGCACATAGTAATAGTAGTAGTAGTTCCATGCAGGTGGAATATCTGCTGAAATAGGATTAGGCTTTCTAGTGTGAATAGGTATCAGAAACACATTTTCTTCCCTTTTGTCAGAGATCCTTAAAATTTAACTTGCAGGAAATGCAGCATGGGCAATGGCCACCTCAAAACCCGATATTCTCCTTATTCTGCTGCAGAAACTGATGGAAGAAGGAAATATACTGTACAAAGTAGGTAGATTTTTATTTTTTTCTGGTAGCAGAACATTATAATTGGACTTCTGTCTGAAGGTACATTAAAGTTCTTTATACCTCCTTTTCCGTTCAAACAAGATGTGTGCTTGCACATCCCCTTATGTTGGGAATGAGACCAAGAAACCTGGAGAACCCTGGAAAAGAATCATTGAAAATTCCTGTGTAAAATAAATAAATATTAAGTACATTTTCTTTCTGTTGAGCAAGTTGCTCTGTGAACATCTGTAGCAGTCAGTTGCTTCTTAAAAGCAACTGAGAATCTTAAGGTGCTGGTTTCAAAGTACCTTGTTGAATTACATGACAGGAATATCCTTTTCTTCAGGATAATGTTCTTTTGTGTGCTGTTTAAATACATAATGAGCAAAGTGACAGCTCTCATGATACATTCTTTTTACTAGTGGTAATTTATTGCTCAGGAGAGAGACTGGAATTATGTTTGTAAACTGTGCGGTACACCTGTGTTATTTCACTAGTGCAACACAGTGCTGAAAGGCTTATATCATTCAAAGTCTGTTCTAGCGACAAGACTTGAAATCTGTAGGGTTTTTTCATAAGGGCCCTCAAATACCTGCCCCCTTATCTCTGATTTTTGTTTTATATTAAATGGCTTTGCGTAGTACCGAAGAGAGACCCTTGAGACTTTGCCGTCATGAATCGGGGTGGACCTGCTGAGATTCTCCCAAGTTCTGTATAGGAGTCTTATGAATACATCTGGATAATTTATCAAGTTTATTGATCCTGAAATGGGTCAAGAGCTTTATATCCAAGCAGGTACCTTTAAGCATGGGACATTTTTCAACCTGAAGGATTACAGGTTTTATGCTACAAAGGCAGTTCTGTCATCCCTGGGAAGCCTCTCCTGTGTCACACTTCTCTAGTGGTGTGCTGAATGTCACTCGCTGGCTGCTCAGCAAGAAGGTGCCACCGTGTCACCAGCACCAATTAATTTTCTTCAGTTTCTGCCTGAAGCTGCTCCACAGGTTGAACCCTGCCTAGACTCTGAGACCACAGAGTAACGTGGCAGGACTCGGTACTCGCATCTTTTACGTTTTGTTACATGAGGTTGAATTCCCTCCTGGTATCTATTTTTAGAGTGCTTAATTTTATGGTAGTAATTTGAATGGACTCACTAAAGCTATGGTATGTCATTTAGCTTGTTAAACTTTTTCCAATATACTTTCTTTATTTGCCAGAGTATTTTAAACGGATAGTTATTTTGCAGAGTAACACGTATTTGAGTCTGCTCGCAGTATGCGATAACTACTTTTCAGCTCTCCAGCTAAATAAAATAATATTTTCCTTGCCAGTTTCAACAGTAAATTTTGACCACTTTGAGGGTTTCGGTGAATAAAATAACAAAAAACACCCAATGTTTATGAAAATAGATTAACTTGTAATATCCGCAAAGAGAAAAATTTCTTCATCTGTCGATTAAAAGATCTGCTTTTCTTATCATACCGGGAGGGTTTCCGTGTTTTTAGCTAAACTGTCTCAGATCTTCAGTTTATTATGGAGATGTTCTCCAGGCATCTCTTGGAGAGTCTGAGTATTTCCAGTGCAACAGTAGATCATTCAGGTAGTCCCGAGGGACAGGTCAGCGCTCTGATTGAGCCTCTCTTAAGCAGGAGGAGAGTGACCTTTGGCTACTTTAAATTCATACACTCGGGCACCCAGCTGGTCATGGCTGAGACACGGGAGTGGATCTGGCAGCAGCTGGACTCCACGTCTGAACGATGTGCTGACTCCCTCTCCCACCCAGCCCCCTCCATCGCCAGAGCTTATTCTGCAGTACCACCGTTCCTGGCTAAGGAGACGCTCTGCGAGAAGCAGCTAGGCCTTAGACTTTTAATCAACTACATCTTCAGATATTTGACTGCTCTGCTGAAAGAAAGAAAGAACGAACGATTTGTGTCATATATTAATTGTATGTGCATGAATTTTTCTGGTACAAGTAGCAAACATTATCCTGGTGAAATACCATTAAAGGTGTGAGTTTAGAAACAAACGCAAACTCTAGTTAAGGCGCAAGTTCTCTCATTGTGCCTGTGTGTAAGTGTAATTCATGCTTTGTATATTTATTTTGTAAAAAATCTGTCTCTCCATTTTCTTCCTGAAGAGCGCCTGTTGGTAGATGTCAAATATAAATGGGCTTTTTTGCAACAGTATTGCAGTATGGAGTTTGTAAAAGCCTCTTGTTCTCCAAATTTGTAGAAAGGTAAGATGAAGGAAGCAGCGCAGCGCTATCAGTATGCCTTGAGGAAGTTTCCGAGGGAAGGATTTGGAGAAGAAATGAAAGCATTCAATGAGCTGAGAGTTTCATTATACCTAAATTTATCACGATGTCGCCGAAAAACAAATGTAAGCTTGTGCTGTTAATCTGTTGCCTTTCTGGCTTTGAGAATCTTAGACTTCTGTTCTGCTGTGTTACTGAGTTTGTACTTGGACATATTTTTTTGCTATTTTAGAATCCTGTATCCTGATATTGGGCCTTCTTGTGTCAGCAAATGGGGGCAGTTCATAAGATGAGGGCATGTTGCTGTGGGGGATATATTACAGCTGTTCTTATGTAATCCACTTATTTTGGAATGATGAACTGCTGGATGGTTTTTGTACTTTTAAAATGCTAAATGGAAAATGCCACCACTACTACCCTTTGTTACCATACAGCATAACCTACTACTACAGCTGTATTGTATGTGCTGGTTGTTTTTTTGTACCTTCACTGGTGCATCAGATGGCTGGTAAGAACCTGAATCCAGAACAAAAACTTCTGATTCTTCTGGATACACCTTACATTGTTCCTTCTTTTCAAACGGAGACTTCTTAATTCCCTAATCATCCAAGTTGTTCTTGACATCTGCTCCAGTTTGAAGAATTTCTAAGCATAGGTCTCCAGGACTTCACACAGGCAGTTGTGCCACTGCTTTGCAGAAGCAGTACTAATGCTTTCCTTTCTGTGCTAGAACTACCTCTCCTGATGCCTTCCTAGATGAGATTGGCTTTTTCAGTTGCATCAAACTAACAGCAGAAAGTGGCTCTGTGACCAACTAGTGCATGTGTGTGTGTGCATGTGTGTTTCTTATCGTATCTCACCGATAAACTCTGATTTGCATTTTGCTAATCCTGAAGTGCATCACCTTACATCTAAAGCTCAAGTTCATCACATTGCTTTGCTTTTGCGTGATATCTCAGAATGGTTTTTTGGGTGTTAATGCTTTCCAACCTCCTCTATCATCATGCTCGATATAATTCAGTATCGTGAATGCCCTGTGCTGTGCATGGGCTGTTATGAAAATTAGACTTCTGCCTTCATCTTCCCCACTCCCATTTCAGTCCTGCTTTGTTAATTCCAGTCCTTGGTTTAACCAACAATTTACTAAACTCTTATTCTGTGTTCTTGTTAAATGAAGGCCAAATATGTTACATCTAGTGCAATTCTTCGCTAAAATTTTCATGTACTTTATCAAAGAAAGCTCTGGACTAGTCCAGTCCATTTCCTGATGTTTCTTGGTTTTCTCTAAATTCCTAAGTTTTTAACTGGCCTTTTTTCAAAAAACATTCTAAAGCCTTCCTATCGTCTGAGGTGGTCATTTATCCTGCTAAACACACAGACTCTTCTAGCATTTTAACATCTTTAGAGAAGATATGGTTACTTTCAACCCATATTAACATTGCCTTTTAGCTACCTTGGAGTCAGCTTCCCTTAGGCATGAGACAAGGTTAGCCAGATGAGGTCTGTTCTCCATCTTTCAGAAAGTATCTGCTCTTGCTAACTGATAAAGGTGACTTTCTACACTGCATAAGCTATCTATCTGCACTTTTGAGGGGGTACTGTGAATAAAGAGCATGCAGCTTTCTTCTATTGTCAATGTATAATGAGTACATTTGTTTAAATTATTAGGACTTTGGTATGGCTGAAGAGTTTGCTACCAAAGCATTGGATCTGAAACCCAAATCTTACGAAGCCTATTATGCTAGAGCAAGAGCCAAGAGGAACAGCAGGTACGGTTTGATTCTGTGCACCTGTCTGCACCGATTTTTTTTTTTTTTAACTTCCCAACACATCCAGTAACTTTTTCTTTTCCACTAGTTCTATTTGGAATTTGCAGAGGAAAAGTTTAAGTAAGTTCCTTGTGCACTCTCCATCTGTATTGGGTTTCTATATCACTTAAAGCCAACCGAACCCAAAAAGCACTATTGAATACTCATTTAGGTAATTATTAGGCAGTCCAGAAAGTAACAAATTTGCATGTTTCAAGTGTAAGAGTGAACAGGACTGCTACTCCATGTGACTCAGCAGAATGTTGTCAGCAGTGTGCCACCAAACTCCAGTGCTGCATTATTTATTACCAAGAATAACTGGATGCTTTTATGTGACAGGATATGTTGAATCATTAGTAGTTCAAGATAAAAACAAGGGGAGAGAGGAGGAACCATTATTTAAACTGGAAAAATACCAAACTATAGTGGTATAGTTGAAGTACAGGGAGAGGTGCCTTTTTGATTTGCCATGTCTTTTCTAAGCAGAACTAGAAATGGTCATGAAGCAGAGTTCAGCAAGTTACCTACTCTGAAGATAACAGTAAAGGGCTTATGAGACAAAGCTTCAGTTCCTAGTGTTACCAGCAGACCTCTGCTGCCCTCCTGAAAAAGCTGTCATGATGCAAGGGGAAGGGTTTAGGGCTGGGTCTGCACTTTCATGGTAGGAAAGAATTTCCTGGGTTGGAGAATATCCAATTCTTACATTGTCACCACCTGCAGCAGATGACGACAAATCAGAGTATTTCTTAGAAGGTGGCAGAGGTGGGTTAGTAGTAGGCAATGCTGAGACTCAGATTTGCCCCAGGTTTTTATTGTTTGCTCTCTTCCCCCCCCCCCGCCCCCCAGAAAACTACTTGCTGCTCTTGCTGACTTACGTGAAGCCACACAGCTGTGTCCTAGCAATCAAGAGATAAAACGTCTCCTGGCTCGAGTAGAAGAGGAGTGCAAACAGTTCCAGAGAACACAGCAACAGAAGCATCAGTTGCCACAGCTACTCCAGCAAATTAGCAACTCTGATAATGAGGAGGAGGGCATTATACAAGGTGTGAATGATAACTTTAACCTTCAGGACAGGGAGGAAGTACTGCCACACTCTGATGAATCTGTTCCCTCTCCACAAAGGCTGCAACGTTCCTTAGCTGCTTCCTCGTACAGCAGGACCCTACAAGAAAGTGCTCAGCAGAAAGCTAGATCTGTGTCCCCTCAAAGCAGAACGGGCAATAAGTATCTGAGAGAGCCAGGCTTGATCATGCAGCCAACAAAGCAGGCACAGATTGTAAAAACTAATCAGCACCTGAGCTCTGTCCAGCCTGGATCAAAAATGGGAAGCAGTCCATGTAATACCAAGACACAATCATCTTTTCAGCAACTTCCCCAAAGTCCCTTGCCAGTCCGGCACTCTAAAATTCAGCATTTTGATGGGACAAGCACATTATCGTCCGGCAGTGGCTCCACAGGTCCTAGTTCCGAACTGTACAATGAGAAGTTTACGTCCAGCCAGTGTCCCCATTCACAGCATAGTGAGAATCTCCCTTCTCATTCTTTTGGAAGTAAGTCTAAAACCGCTGACAGGTTAACAGCCCCTGCTCAAATGAATTTCAGTGAAGCAAGGCAGCAAAGCCCTGCAGCCAGTGGTGTCTCTTCTAATTCTCCATCCAGCAGTATGATTCTTGCTAGCTCAACCAGCAGCTTAACTTCAGCCAGTAGTTTTTCAGAGAGTATTAAGGGGCTAGGCCCAGATGTTCGACTCAAGGAGAACAACATGAATCAGATTCAGGGTGCTACTGCTGAACACAGACCTCGCAACACCCCATTTATGGGAATCATGGATAAGACTGCAAGGTTCCAGCAGCAAAATGCTCAATCCAGTCGCACGTGGCACTCTCAGGCGTCAGATGGATTATCAACAAATGTTGCTTCTGGGGGCATTCAGCCCTCAAATTTTGAGCAGTTCTCAGTCAAACACTACCAAACTAAAAGTTCCTCTACTGGTGCTGCCCCAGGAGATAGCAACCAGAATGGCATGCAAGCTAAAGAACATGAGGAGCTTACATGCCAAGTATCTGCGTGCTGTCAAGACAACAGAGCACCTAAACAAGCTTCACATTTGTACCCAGATGCTGTGTCAAAACAGCAGTCTCACATCGGTAAGGAAGGCCATCTAAGTCACGTCACGTCCACAAAACCAAAGCGATCATGCATTGAATCAAATGTATGAATATCACTTTGTAATGATATTACAGGGTTGTAAAACTTGGCTCATAGCACCATAGGGTATCACGTCTGTATGACATACCGACTGGCTCTGGTCACTTGTGAGTTTGGGTAAGCAGTCCATGTTGGCCAGTACTTAATGGGATACAACCACTTTAACCTGTTCCTACCATCACAGGACAGTTACAGTAACTGGAATAGCAAATTTGTGTAGAAAGAGTCAAGTAGGATCATCAATCCACCAAACCAGGACCTCAAGCAGAGAACTCCTTTCTATTACACTTCACCATTAAATAAGACTTTCCTTTTACGTAGGGCTTTAATCTTGGCTTTTGGTTATATTACATCTCGCCCCTTACTTACACAATAATCGTGCCTCAATAATGCTTAAGTGCTTACTTCTCAGAACAGTGTTAAGAAAGATACCTGCTGCGTAATACTCAGATCTGTATATGTATGGGTTTTTTAAAATCAAAGATAGTATTTTATCACTTTTCTAGTGGGATTTAATTTGGGTTGCATGATGTACATTTAGGAAGCATAAATGATTTGTGTATGAGTAAGCTATAAGCGGCAATGTTTTGACATGTAAATACAACTATTTTTAGTAACTAGAAGAAATCAAGTAAAATAAACAGTGACATTTGCATGTGTATTGAAAGGCTTTGACCATATTGGTTATTGCACTGAAGAACACATTATTATGGCATATTAACAATAATCGCACTTTATGTAGTTTATCTAATCACCTTTGGGTGCTATCTGAAAAGCAAAATGATTTATTGTTTATTTGTGAAAAAGGTACAGCAATGAAATGTTTAGTAAGTGTTTTTATGGGAAACCCAGGGAATTGATGGAGTGGAGATGGAAGTTTGAGGAAGAGTGTATGTGTGTGCAGCAGCATGACAGGCTGAAGTTGTGAAGTTTTTCGGAGGTTTTATATCGGCAAGAACGTTCTGAAAATAGACGCGGGGACATTCCTATGAGTGCAATTAGGTTGGAGTGGTCAACTTTACATGGACGCTTTTCACGTCGTCTTTAAATGTACATTGTAAGCAGCCGTACCCATTTTTACAAATTCTTTTTGAGTTTGCATTGTTATGCTTTAGCTTATTTATTGTTTACTGTTTCTTTGATATTTCAAACAAGTCCTATGGTAATCTTGTCCTGTAGTTCTATTTTTGCACAGCTACTGTATTTTTTCCGTACAAAATAAAGATCATGCCTATACCTGCGGGCTGAGGTACAGTCACTGATGGTTACAGGAGAAACTCCCTCCCGGCTTTTCTAACTACCTGTTCAGTAACAGGGAACAGAGAAAGGTACATTTTTCTTTTTCAAATTAGAGAAAGAAATACAGATTATATACTTTGCTATTTCTTACCTGCTGGAACACTAACTTGGCAAAATCAAGATTCAAAACTCATAAATGTAGTGATAATTTTAAGAAAATTTTATTTGAAAAACTGTGGACCTGAACACCTCATTTCTTAAATACCGCAAAGCAGAATTACCAGTAACAAAGTTTTTCAGTAACTTGCTGGGAGCTTCCAACAGTGAAGATTTTCTTTCAAACAAAAACTTAAATGACAGCCACAGATCAGAACGGAAACGCAGTTTTTTCTTTTTGATTGATTGATTGTTTCGGATACAGTTACTTCCTTTAGCTACATACAATTTCGTGTCAATTAATTTTAATAAACAACTTTAAAACTAAGTGGTTTAACCGTATTTCTGCTGAGTCTCTAGCCAGCGACTGATAGCCATTTTTAGTGTCCTGTTTGGTGTAAGCATAAGCGAGTGGAGAGGAAGATTCGTCATGGGACTAGATCGTCTTTTATTGCTGAGCCAGTGTTCCATTGCTTCCTTCTCATAGGAATAGCCATCTACAAAGAAACCACCATCAGAGGCTTTTGTTACAGATGCTTGGTTACTTTACTGTTACGCTGTAAGGGTTTTAGCTATTTAAATTTAAAAGCAATGTAAGGTAATCGGTATTTCCCAAACAAGAAAACTGAGAAAGAGAAAAAAATTATGCTGTCTGTGAAAGCTTCACCATAAACTAACACATATTTGTTTCAAATCATATAGTTAAATGTATTACAACAAAACTTTATACAGCAGTATTAAGATAAAAGTTTGGTTCACCTTTTTAATTTGTACTGTACCTAGCAAACTAACTGCTACAAGCTGTCTTAGACAGCACTGCAAATTTACCAGCCCCTTACAGCTGCATCAGTTCACCGACGACTGACTCTGAAGCAGCATGTTGTTTGAAAAGATCTTGCAGCTGTGTCTGATGCCTTCCCCCAAAGCGCCAGGAGCGGCCACGGGCATGGGGGGACAACACAGGACACACAAAATTGCGATCTCTTTCTTTAGAAAAGGCTCCACTGAGGCAGGGCAGCAAGACATTTGCAGAACGAGCCTGCTTGTCTCTGAGGCGGCCACGGGCCGAAGCCATGTTCGTGCATGAATTTGTGACTAAGGTAAACAAGTGGTAAACAGCTCCAAATTACATAAAATCATGTGTTCATACCTACAGGAAGTTCAGTTCTGTAGTGCTGGGCTGTGAAGTAGCTACCTAGTGAATAAAGAAGTTTCCAAACACAAAAAATATACTTTCCTTCACCTATCTTGCCAGAAACCAACCTTTCTCCTGCTGCAATCGCTAACATTTCTGTTATTCATTAACTTCTATAAAAATAAAGCAGTATGAGGAACTCCCAGATACGCCCACCCTCTATTCTGAAAAGCAGAGGAATCCCATGTTTCAGGACAGCAGTGTAACACATGAATACTGAACGGCACACAGGTGATATTTATGTGTATATACACACTGTAATTGATCCCACACACACTGTAAACATTTTATTTTAAAAGGTCAACAGTTTCTCTTAAAAACACCTATTTGATTTTGTAATATACATGTTAATAGTGACTGGTAGTAACTTTCAGCTTTTCAACAAAACTATCCTGCTCTAAAACTATGTACCCTTATTTCAAAATTATATTAAAAAAAGGATATGCAAGGCTGCCCTCCTACTGCTATTGTTTAGAAGCTCAAGCCCTGTTAAGTGCAGTGCTTACCACTCCAGCAGTTAGCAGATGTTTTCATATTTTGAACATTTTAATTCTCAAAAGTCTGGCCTGATACCTCAAAACTGTATAAAGTTAGGCACTGTTTACAGAGCATCAAAAAAAATATACTGGTCTTTTGCTGGTCATATGCCCACTCTCCCTGCCCCCAAAATTATAACTGTGAAACACTAGTTCTTCGTAACATAACATCTCCTGGTCCTTGTGTATCTCTGTTCCAAGGTCTTGTTCAATCTAAACAAGTCTCATTCTGTACAAACTTTTTAGTGCCATATACCTGGTGTGCTAAGAGTAGTAGTGAGCCTGGGCTTTGTCCCCCCTGCCCCCTGTGTGCATAGTTCCATTTTGCACTTACCAAGGCAATTTTCTAATTAGGCTTGTAATTATATTTGCAAAGGCACATAAAGAAAGGAACGTTAAAAAAAAAAAAACACGCAGCCTCATCAGCAGAGCTGACACTAAGCAAATTGCTTGCTACAGCATATAGAGATATAATTTGGCAAATTAAACATTTACCACAGTTCTATTTTGTTGCAACAGCTATTTAGAATAGCTTGTCTTTCTACAACTGATAAGATATGCCCATGTCTGTGCTCCCACACCTATCTTTACCCTCAAGTCATTCATTTTAGTGAACGCCATTTAAAGACATACCTGCTGCAATGACAGGATCCTTCATAAGCTCCCTTGTTATAGGACATAAGAACTCGTCAGGGACAGTTACAGAAACAGAGATCATTCTCATCCTCAGTTCTTCAATTTTCTGGAGGACTTTACTGCGCAGGCCTAGAGACTCTGAAATTCATACATGAAGCGGACAACACGGACATGTAAGGCAAAGAGGTTAGGTCTCGCATTCGTTAGCAGCTGCGTTACAGGAGACACAGCTCCATCTCACCACCCCCACCTAATACAGAAAAACCTGCAGACCTCCCTGGCCCCCACTACAGGCAGCGCAACTGCAGCACGTCACTCCTGCTGGCCAACACTCACTCTGTGCAGTAATGCCAACCAACAGCAAAACAAACGCAAGCGCAACGTCGCTGCAAAGACGTGGCTACCTGGCAGAACAGCATTTTAGTTGACGCACAGCAGAATCACAGACACTGCTGCATGTGCAAAGCTAACTGTAGATAAAACCTTGAAACTGGACTATATAAATAACTGTACGAAGTTGTAAGAGCGCACAAGTACCATCGTCACCTCCAAACAGAAGGCTACCTACCACCAAAGCACCCGAGTGAGGACTCATCACCCTTGGACCAGGTTTTCCCTGCAGTTTGGCACAGGGTCATATTTATGTCACCATTATGGACATAAAATGCTGAATTTGTCACAGATCAGTAGGGAGGCATTCAGGTGTTGCTTAATCTCCCAAAAAGTCTCATTCCAATCAGGCTGAGCATACTTAACACAAGGACTCTGCTGTTGGTATAGCATTACACCAAACAGAAGGATGTGATATTTACTCTACTTCCAACCCTCTGTGGAACAGCTTAGTGGTTTTGCACTGCCCTTAGGCATGGGACAGTCTGGATTCCAGCGTGCCTTAGGCTGTGCAGCATCAAGTCCACCTTTCTCATTTCCCGAGTGTATGCATCAACCACTCTTCCAGTAGAATACTGCACCAAGCAGGACAGCAAAGTTCCCTGACACTGTAGCAGGCTCAGGAGACTCCATTAACGTGTTCTGGCCCCGTTCCTTACACTATTTGCACTGCGTAATTGGAGACAACCCACATAAACTAGAACTATTTGCTTAAGTCTAAGCTTACTAGCATATTTTTGATCTTCTACCTTTGAGCCATGTCTACACAACAGACATACAGTTAGACTCACGCACAGGTCCTAAGACTTTGCATCCAGACCTTGGGAGTTCCTGGGACTCTGTTACTGGAGATCCAGA